TATAAATAACGTATAGGTTCTTCAGTATTTGATTTTGAACTTGAGATCTTTAAGATATACACATAAATACACATATATAGAATGTTTAAAATTGCAAAAATTTTCAAACTACAAATACATTTCCTACTAATAATAAACATTACTTTATTTTAAACATTTTATGTGAAATTTTGCTCTTCCGACAAATTCGTTATGTAAAAGTAAACAGGTAATGATTAATTTTATTACACCGCATGCAAATTTGCACACATTAAAAGAGGAAACTGGTTACTTCTCTCAATATGCGCAAATAAACAAAATTGTTTTAGAGTGTATTTAAAGTCTTTTCAGTAAAATTCATAAAAGTTTTCTTAAATAAATCAAATTTAGTTTTTTAAACTACATTGAAATTTTCTTTCTTTTTAAATTAACAAATGAAAATATGTGATATGAAAGAGATTACTACAGAAAGAGTATAATTTACTTTACATATATCGTCGTTTAAAGTACAAAGCCGCGTATCGTCATTCTGCAAAACCGCGTAACTGACATTTGCTGCCGAAAATTGGATTTGCTCACACAAGCTCTTGGCTCAATCCTTATCCATTCGTCCTGAAATATACTAGCCAGAAATGCGATTGCTTTATCAAAAAGAGAACCATTTTGAAATATAAGTGTTTTTACTCTCTAGAAAATAATTTATGCAACGTCACATACGCGGTTTTGCATTATCTTGATACGCGGTTTTGCATTTTGTTGATACGCGGTTTTGTACTTTAAACGACGATATATGTAAAGTAAATTAGAGTAAAGCAGCCTTTTAATCTAATTAAAGCAATTGCGCTTATACCTATTTTGGTGAGATCTCTTCATGTGTTCATTGCTTCGTTCACAAAAAATAAAATGCTTTAATTTCACGCTCAAGTAGCGATTCTTTATACGTTTAGAAAACGTAATGCTTTCTACCATCTTTAATGAAAATCGATTTTTGAACGAAAAAAACTTTATAGGAAATATAAAATTTTGGCCTATTTAAAAAAGTATCCACATTTATACTGACCGGAAAAAATAAGTATCCCGCAAAAATTCGTCTAAAAATGTATCCAATTGGATCTATTTAGATCCAAACGGCATCCCTGTAGGTAGGTTGTTTTATCAATCTTGCCAAAGAACAATCAGCTGTTCAGTACAAAATGTAAACAAACAAGCAAATGCAACAACAATTTCAAGGAGGAAGCAAAGTGCTTAACCGGAGCTTCTACCTCCGATTTGTGCTACTCAGACATTGAACAACCGGCCCTTGGCCTGTTCCCGTACTCAAGGATTTAGACAGAAATAGTCCGCAGTAGCCGTGTTGCAGAATACCAACCGTTTGGCCATAAAGAAATAATAAACGTAGCTAAATAGAACTTTTCATGCTGATTTTAACCATACCAAGATTATTTGGTGCAAAGAAAACTAAAGCCCATAAAAGAGGTTAAAGTTAAACTTTTATATTTTTCTTTTATTTATAATATCTCGGGAACTATTTGACCGATTACAAACTTATTGATGCTAATTTAAAGATAATTTAGGTACGTTTTACGCGACGTATACAATTTTAAATAAACGCCATTTAAAAAAAATATATTTATATATTTTTTGGTTATTAGGTATTTCTGGCTTAAAACTATAAAGAAAGGAAACAAATTATGCACACCAAGTGAAATACCCCTAATTACCTTTATTTTGACGTCATTTAAAAAAATCAAAACATTTAACTTTAACCGTTGATATCTTCTTTCTTTTCAACTTTCGCCAAATAAAATCTTGCAGTACGGGATCAGACTAACGGCAAATTGGTTGCAGGTTTGGATTTTCAAAGACACAAACCAAATGCAATGCAACCCGTTTTGATCGAATTTGGTTTGTGTCTTTGCTAATCCAAACCTGCAACCAATTTGCCGACAGTTAGTCTGTTCCCGTACTGCAGGATTTAATCAGAAATAGTCCCAGGTCGTTCCGTCCACACAAGTGTAGAATATCATTATTCTAGCTATGCAAAAACAAAAATGTGACTCGATAGAACTTTTTGTGCTGATTTCAACCCTACAAAAATTATTTGGCTAAAGAAAAAAATAAAGGACATATCAATGGTTAAAGTTAAATTTTAAAATTTTTTTAAATATTATTATCTTTTGAACAATATGACCTATTAAAAAACTAATGACGTCAAAATAAAGGTAATTAGGGGATATTTCTCTTGGTGGACATAATTGTTTCCTTTCATTTATATTTTTAAGCCTGAAACACCTAATAATCAAAATATATGTGGCACCCTGTTCTACTCCTTTCTAACATCCCATGTAAATTTGTAACATTAGTATTACTTTTAAGTTTTTTATTCCTTCTTCTCCTCATCAACTCATACAATTCAGACGTGTTCAGCAAAACCTAACTTTTGAGATATAATCTAATAAACTATAATTAACTTAAATTCAACGCAAATTGGTTTTAATAATTGTAGAAACCAAAACTGGTGACCCCGACGAAAAAGTTTCCCGATTAACCAGACATTTACTTGAATAATCACGCCACCTTACTGCAAACGCCAAGCACGTGGTTCCGGCGTTTGAGGTTATATAACCATGCCGAATACAACGACGGACAGTGGTTTATCAGCCAACACTGGTACGCCACCACCAGCGGCAGACACGGTTGCCGTAGTTTACGCCAGGTTACCGGTACCCACCATGTCCAGTACCAATATCGAAGCATGGTTTACAACGATGGACTTTTGGTTCACGGCATCCGGAATTACCACCGACAAACAAAAAACAGCTACAGTCTTGGCAGCGCTGGACCCAGCCGTTATCGCTAAGCTCAGTGATGTTATTGCCTCACTACCACAAACCGATCGTTTCGACTATGTAAAGCGAAAACTAATAGAGCACTTTGCCGACAGCGAGCAACGACGACTCAACCGATTATTATCAGAACTACCATTAGGGGACAAAAAGCCGTCCGAATTATACTACGAGATGAGGCAAGTTGCAGGTAATACCCTGGGGGAAGCGGCACTAAAAGGTCTCTGGACGAAACGCCTACCCGAATTTGCCCAACCTGTCGTTGCTGCAACGTCAGGACCAGCCACAGAATTCACGCGAATTGCCGATTCTATTATAGATGCCGTAGCGCCAGGTCAAGTTAACAGAATCAAAGCTGAACAACCAAACGAGTTAACTGAACTGCGCGCTGCTGTCAGGGAATTAAACAACAAGTTCGAAAAATTCACAGTTCGCTCAAGCTCACGTAATCGCAGGCGGTCCAATTCTCGCCGATACTCGCGCAGCCGCGATCATTCTCACGTCGCTGGCACATCGCACACAACTTCTGCTGAGTGCTGGTACCACCAAAGGTATGGCGGTAACGCTCGGAAATGCAGAAGCCCTTGCCGACGTAAGAATCGAACGGCAGCTACTCCCGCAGCCAATTCGTCAACTAATTGACTATCTTCCCTCGCCTCGGATAACGCCATCAACCATACAGAAGTTACTAAAATATACCGACTGCAAGTGCTAGACAAAAAGTCAAAACAAAATTTTTTAATCGACACAGGTGCGGATGTGTCCGTACTCCCGCTCACCGCTAAGACTTATGATGTTAGACCTACAGCAACAACTTTATACGCAGCAAATGGTTCCCCTATTAAAGTCGTCGGAGAAAAGCGGATAAATGTAGACCTCGGACTACGTCGCAATTTCCAATGGTCCTTCGTAATTGCCGACGTCACATCACCAATAATCGGCGCAGATTTTATCCGTTTCTATGATTTGCTTGTTGACTTACGTAGGAACCGAATCATCGACAACGTAACACAACTGCGCGCACCACTCATAGCTCTTACAACGCAGGAGGCAATTGAGATCAAGACTTTCGACTCGCGTGATCCATTTTCTGCTTTGTTAGCCGAATTCTCGGATATTACTAAACTATCGCCGCAGAGGTCTACAGCGAAGTGTACTATTACGCACCAAATAAGAACAACAGGTCAACCTGTGTCTTCCCGGCCTCGACGTCTACCTCCCGACAAGTTGGAAGCTGCGCGAAGCGAATTCGAATTCTTAATGACAGCAGGCATCTGTCGACCATCCAGCAGCTCCTGGGCAAGTCCATTGCACCTGGTAAAAAAGAGCAATGGAACGTGGAGACCATGTGGCGACTACCGTGCCCTAAATGCCCAAACGCTTCCCGACAGATACCCGCTTCCGTACTTAACAGACTTCACTGCAAATCTACGAGGTAAGACTATTTTTTCAAAAATTGATCTCCAAAGGGCATTCCACCAGGTGCCCATACAGGAAGACGACATCGCAAAAACCGCAATCACGACCCCGTTCGGTTTATATGAATTTAAATTCATGACGTTCGGGCTTTGCAACGCCGCCCAAACTTTTCAGAAGGGCTATTCGCGATTCGGTGCATAAGAGCTGACGAATTTATGCAATTGCTGAAATATGCCATGGATTGTGAGCGACCTTTATTAAACTGTCATGGTAAAACTTTTTTAATCAGTTGATAGAAATGTCAACCAGAGTTGCAATGCATAGCATTTTTATGCTATGGATTTTCGGTATTGCAAATTTGTCAAGCCATGACAAATGCAAATGCGTGTATTTTGTTTGTGTATTGCAAATAATTTGCAATACAAATTTGCAATGCAATGAAGCTAGGCCATTTGCACCGGATCGCGAATAGCCCTAGAGGCTAATCGACGAAACATTACGCGGGTTAGATTTTGTCTTCCCG